GCTGCCCGGAGTGCGCCTGCTTCACGAACTGGCGCCGCGCCTTGGGGGGCGGAGGCGGCGCGGCGGGGGGTGGGGGTAGCTTAAGGCTTTTGGCTGTGGGTTTGGGTTGGTTTGTGCGTTTTGGGTGGATTGGTTGGGGTATTTCACTCCTTTCCTCCCCCCCCGCCTGTGCGGAGGGGCGCTGGGTGTTGTGGTCGCTGCCCCGGCGGAAGAGGGTGCCGAGAGGTTGGTGTCCGCCGTCGTCATTGTTTATAAGGCGCGGGAGCGAAGCCGGCGTGTATTCGGGGTGCGGGTGGGTTTGTGGCGGGGGACAGAGGAGCCTGTCTCGCCCCCCTCTACATCCGCGTGCGGGCGAGCCGGCGTGTATTCTCGGGGTGCGTGGGTTTGTGGCGGGCCAGAGAGAGGCGTCTCTGGTCTCCTTCCAAATCCGTGAACGGCTTTCAATTCAAAACGTCACTGATGGAAAGCAGGCCTCTGTAAGGGTGCCTGCGAGCAGGGCCTTCTGTGGGTATGCCTAGGCTTGGCTTAAATTGGCTTTAAAACTCTGCTTGGACAGAAATCGGCTCTTAGGATCTGTGTAATTTAAAATGGGATGGAGAGGGGTGCGAGTAAGTCTCCCCCTGAGGGAAGAGGGGGGAGCATGATTGTGTGTGTGCAGGGCAGAGAGGAGGAGTACAAATCTGCTGCTGCTTGGTGTCGGGGGGGAAAGGTGTACGTCTGGGGGCACACCTCAGTGCTCAGCTCTTCTTTTCGACTGAGAATTGCATGTGATAGCAGTTTAATATTAATCTGAGTTAGAGATCTAAGTGTATGATGTGGCAGGAATTGCCTGGGGAAGGGCTAAGGTCACTGTGGTTGGTGTGATGAAACAGCTCTATTTTGTCCACCTGTGTGTCTCTGTAGATTACTTGAGGCTACTTTAAAAGCAATGGCAGTAAGGTTTCCTCTCTAACAGATGAAAGTGGATTTAGAGAATTTTTTGATGCAAATTATGATGATCTGACTAGGCTTGTATTGGGATAACCACATGGTCTTGGAAAAATCTTAATGTTGATGACTTCTAATACAAAAAGCTGGGGAGAAAATTATACTGATAAAATGAGACCATTTAAATACAGAGTTTCCTTAAACTAAATTCAGGTGATTTGGACTTCTAGCCATGTAAACAGGGGCTTTGTATGTAAAATTCAAGGTTGTTAATCTTCCTTACAGCAGAAACCATCTCAATGTTTTTTCAGAACGGAGTTGCAGGTCCTTAAGAGGACCTTCAGACCTCACTCTTGTATGTGTAGAAGGCAGCTTATAAAATGTTTTGTATCAGTTCAAGGTTACGTGAATGGTCTTGTGCTTTGTCTGGTTGGCCCAGCTATTTACTGAAAATTTGCCAGTGCCTTGGTATTCTATGCAAGCTGCATGTGTAACATGGTTTCATGTGGTGTCATCGCATTTAAGACTTGCTGTTGTATCTATTTTTTTAATTATTGTTTTCATTCATTTAGCTAGATGTAGTATGACTTTATTCTAAGATGTCTCTTAAGTCTTCCAGTTGGTTAACACATTTGTCCACTCTTGTTTTTAGTGGAATTCGGTAGAAGGGAATACAAGAGAAACATTCAAGCTCTTAGGTTCCTAACCTATGTTTAGAGATGTGGAATAACAAGACTTAAGGTAGTAGGATAGAACAGATTAACTACTGATTTCCCCACAAGCTTGCCAGTGCGTAGGCAGTGTGGGAACTCTGATGGAACAACTACCTCTCTGTCTAGATTGGACAACAAACCTCTCATGCTCTCAGTGTCTGCGAGAGTGACAAAGATGTAACTTGCTTGTGAAACAAAATGTTAACACTTTCACTGTCTAAACAAATACTGATGTTTCTCCAGTGTCTTGTCCCTGTCCAGACAGCTATTTGGGAGCTGTAATTACTTTTGTATCTTTCTCATCTTCACGATGAAGAAAGTAACTACATCTTCCAAATAGCTGTGAAAGAGCTGATAGTTCCTATCACCTGATAGTAGGTGATCTATGCAGCTTCCAAATAGCTGTCTAATGGCATTTGAATCTTTTTCCTTTAAGGGAGCTCCAAGTGTTGCCAGCTAACCATGGGCTGGTGTACACTGACTAAGATTCCCAAAAATACTTGAGAGCACTCTCTAGAGACTGTGCTTTGCAGGCACTGGTATTGGCTTAAGTTCTGTCTTTCCCTCTTCAAAGTGAGGAGCTAGACTTTTGTCAAGAACAAAAAGTAACAGCTGTTTAGGTGAACAGAATCTTTGGACTTGTAAATCTAAGAAAAATCCTGTTCTGAAATGGGAGGGAAGCTGGACACCAAGTGCAGCTCTTAACTTCTGCTTCTAGCCCTGAAGTTGGACTAAATATCTGACAGTTGCACTGATGTGCAAAATGCCTGCTGGCATTCTGAATTTCAGTCTTAATTTTGGCTTTGTTGGACTCATTTATCTCTTTGTAATACTACCATAAGGGCCTGATGTTTTTAGTTTGCCTACAGCCCTTCCAGATTATGAGTAGTGTTGAAACATGGTGTGTGTGTTTTTTCTGAAAGATTTTGTACAGATAAGGAATCTGCATTATAGATGTTGCTGAAAAATGAAAATGCAGTTTTGTGCTAACTGTGCTCAGGTGGATGCACAGCGTGTGATTTCAAGGTAATAAAATAACCTAAACTTCAGGGGGATACTTATGTAAGTTTAGACTGTCTACCTTTGGATGCTTAATCTTCTTATATCAGGTCTTATTTCTTGGGTATTTGTACCTACAGTGTCTGCAGCGCTAAATAATGCATCATTCTCTTACAAGTTTATTATATTACTGATTTGGGAGTGATGTTTGTCTTGCCTGTCTGTTTTTACCAGTCTGTTACAGGCTTCAAAAAAGTCTTACTTGATAACAATTTTCAATACTTACAACTCTAGTTGATTGTGAGTGAACAAACAGCTCACATTGCCAGTCTGTCTTTAATAGTTAAAAGGTTGGTTGCCACTTCTGTGTTGGTTAGGCATATTTTTTGGTACTTTGTTATCTATTAAACTTCTTCATCTGTGTGTTAAATGCTTCTGTGCCACATAGGACTTTGAATATAAGAATTACTTTCTATGTGACTTTCAAGAAATCAGCATATTTTAAGCAGACTTCTTAAAGTCTGTAAAGCTTTTCATAAAAAAAAGCATACTACTTGTAGCAGCAATTGTAAAATATTTTAAGGGGCAAAAGTGCTTCTTAATGCTTTGACTTTAGTCTCTGTGAAACTGTAATATTGAGTGACTTTTTGAAAGTGAAATGTTCTTTATTCACACAAATATAAAGTGAATTTTCAAAACCCGATAGTATAAGAAAATGAATTATCCTGCAGTTCCTGATAGCTCTCCAGAATTTTGTTTCAGGGCAGCTTCTTGTTGTAGGCTCTGTATTTTGCATATAGAGGTCCTAGTGCAGATGGCAGGAAAAAGAGTTTTAAAGAAAATAACCCTTTTCGATGGCTGACAACTTGCCAGTAGATGTATGTGCTTTTCTAGAAACTTGCTCAGTTGGATTGTTTTATAACATATATGAAATTGTACAGCAAACAGCTTTTTAGCTTATCTTCTAGACACCAGAGAAGAGACAAGAAATCTATAGATTGAAAGCTGAACTGAAGTACTTGGTTAAGATAGCCCAGTTAATTAGCACTTAGTTAATGTGGCCCACTGAGAAAATAATAAGGCATGGCTATGCTGTAAAATAGATTGTGGTGGTAGTGGAGCTGGAAAGCTCTGAATCCTGTGGTTTGGTGAAGTGCCATCCAGACTTAGGAGTTCAGGTCAGGAAGAGTCCTTGTCACTGCTTGGATGAAGTGCCTCATGAACTAAAACCCAACAAGATCCTCATGTGTTATAAGCATATGGACTCCTGCAAGAAATACTTATTCTTAAATAATATGTTAAATCTTTTTTTGTGTGTGTACTGCAGAGCTGCTGAAGTGATTTGGCTTATGCAAGATGGTGCTTTATAAACTCTCCAGCTGTCTTAGCTGACAGATCATTAAGAGTCTGTTTTCGTTTTTTTGAGAATAGCTCTATGTTTCTGGTGATGAAGTACTTTTGTTTGTCACTCAACCTGTTCTGTTGCAACAACAGTATTATCTGCTATTTACCCTGAAAACTAGGAAAGCTTACTTTTCTCCTTTCTTTTGGAGGTGGTAGTGTAGAAATACTTTCTATTACAATATTAAGTGTACTACTGGTAACCCCCTCCACTGTAAAATCAGGAAGTCATCTACTCTTGGGTTGTTGAAATGGGTCTACACAGAGGCAAAAGCTGCTTTTGCCACAGGCTTGGAGGACAAGACAGTTCTTCATTTCCCTCGCTACTTTAGATAACTGTCTTACCTTTTCAGTGTCACCTTAAAAGTTGGACAAAAGGAGGAAGGATTCCTTCAGTTTGTTCTCCAAATGTTTCCATATATGTTCTGTTCCAAGGTAATGTTCCTTTCTCCTCAGGCTATATTTTTTTCCTTAAATAAAACCCAACAGATGTATTAAACAAAGGTCTATCTCTTCTCATAGAACTTAATGTATTAATTCTTCTTTGTACTGGACAGCAAGAGTGTCCAGAGGCTGAAGCCTCTTGAAGTCTGACTTCAGTAGCTTTGCTTTGCATCACTGAATTGGGCCTGGTGCATCAGGTTACGGATAAGCGAGTGGGGTTAAAAAAGGCTGGTTCATGAAATTCATCATATGATGATCACCCTTTTGACTGGATGGTAGATAATGGAGTGCATTACCTGTGTATGTGGGAGGGGCATGCACATGAATTAAATGACCACGTGGGTATGTATAGAGTTATTTGTTCTCTGTGAGAACAGCCACACAGTGAAACAAACTTCACATAGGGTGAGCTGGGCACCTACAGCTTGTTTTAGTGCTATATGTCAGTAATATAGCTTTCAGTGTGTAGGCTAAAGCTACTGCATTGCTCCTCTGAGGTGTAGGTTCTCATTTATATTGTGTATATTTTAAAGTAGGACTTGAGTTACTTCTGTAGACAGTCCATGACTCTTCTTTATTTGTATTCTTAGATTACTTATCTCTCTGAAGAAATTTGAAGGCAAGGTATCTTGATTTGCTCAACTATTTCTCTTGCGAGGCTATGGCCACTCATCTAATATGGACAGTTTCTGGCCTGAAAAAACGCTAAGAGCTTGCTGCTTAGAGCTATAATAAGCATTA